GAAAAGCACCTCCTCCTATGCCATGTCTTCTGGGTTCCAAGGGTCTGGAAAGTGGTTCCATAGCCAATTACATGGCTGCCAACTCTAGGTTGGGAAATACCTGTAGATTTGAAGGGTAGAGCCTGGGGAGGGCAGGGTTTGGGGGGGGAAGGGACTTCAGCAGGTTATAATGCCATAGAGTCCACTGCCAAAATCAGCCATTGTCTCCAGGAGAACTGATCTGGTCATCTAGAGATCAGTTGTAATAGCTGGGAAATTTTCTGTAGGGGAAATGATGTGCTGTGGCTGGGGAACACGGTGATTTCTGGGAGATCTCCAAGCCCCACAGGGAGATTGGCAACTCCACTGACCGTTTAAGGGAAGATTGGGATATGTATTTTACCTCAGGACACATTCAATGACTCCCAACAGCAAGAGCAAACTGTTTAGAATGTTAGAGTCAAAGGCCAATCAGGCCGCATATGCAAACGAGCTCTGTGTTCCGACTGGCTATGGGAGGGAGAAGAACAGCAAACTGTTTAGAATGTTGAAGGCGGGACTCAGGCAACATAGCCAGTGGATAGGGACAGCTTCTGAGTGACACATCATGGAGCCAACTGATTTAGGAGTGTGTGGAATGTTCAGAAAGTGCCACCCCACTTCACAATTATATGTAAGGAGAGATAAAGAACTGAGGGGGGCTTTATGTCTTTTGCATTTCATTTATACAGTGAGTGACTAAAATGTGGAATTCATTGCCAGAGGATCTAGTGATGGCCACAGGCATTGTCAGATTTAAAAGGGGATTAGACAGATGCATGGAGGAGAGGTCTATCAGTGGCAACTAGCCATGGTGAATAAAGGGAACCTCCATGTTCAGAGGCGGTGAATACCAGAGTCACTGAGTCCCAGTGCCAGGAAGCAACATCAAGGGAAGGCCTCAGCCTCTGTGCCCTGTTGCTGGACCTCCAGAAGAACTGGTTGGCCACTGTTTGAGACAGGATGGACCACTGTAACAAGCATCCTGCAAAGAGTTCCAGAGAACTCAAAAGGTTGTACAATGTGTTGTATTAATTTGGTTGATCATATTAAAAGGGGAAAATGGGCTTTGTTTTGAACTTTAAATAAAATATCTGGATCATCTGTCTATATAGACTACAAGGTCAGTTCTCAGAGGGTAGCTTATTCTACAGGTTCATTGACTACTGTCGTCAGATGACAAAGAGTGACGTCTTTATTATGAAATTCCTTTATATTAGAAACTATAATGAACATAATAGCCCTGCTGGATCAGACCATTGGGGAGCCTGTGCCCTTTTCCATGGCCATTTGTACCTCCCAGTCTGCCCCTGTTGTGAGGCACAGCACTGTGGCAAGCCATAGCTATGGCCCCAGTGAGGGTGGTGGTGTGAGTGAAGGTGGCTTCCCTGTAGTATGGGGCGGGGGGAGAGGATGGCTAGGGCAGCTTCTTTGCGGTGTGGGGGAAGAAGGATAGCAGTAGTTTCCTCACAGTACGGTGTGAACAAATTGAGTAGTGGCTTCCCTGTGGGGTGAATGAGTGTGTGGGATGAGGGAGAATTAATCTAGGGCCCTTAAAATCCTTGTTTGTTTGGTGTAGTGGTTAAGAGCCAGTTTGGTGTAGTGGTTAAGAATGTGGACTCTAACCTGGGATAACCAGGTTTGATTCCCCAGGCCTCCACACGCAGCTGCTGGGCGACCTTGGGCTGTTCTCTCAGAGCTGTTCTCTCAAGAGCAGTTCTCAGTCAGAGCTCTCTCAGCCCCACCTACCTCACAGGGTGTCTGTTGTGGAGAGAGGAAGGAAAGGAATTGTAGACCACTCTGAGATTAATCTCTTCTTCTCTTCTTGTGATGGCCCTGTTTCTGGGCCAGGATATTGTGCTGGGAAACTACTTTTTAGCCACTGGTGAATGCATCCGCAGCTAAATAATTTATTTATAGTGCAAAGCAACTTTCTCTTAGAAATAAGGCTCAGCCTACACAAATAGGGAGGTATGTAACAACAGTGTTTGGTCTAAGAGAAGAAGAAGAGATTGGATTTATACCCTGCACTTCTCGACCTGAAGGAGTCTCAGAGCGGTTTACAATCCCTTTTCCTTCCCCTCCCAACACCAGACACCCTGTGAGGTAGGTGGAACTGAAAGAGCTCTCTTGAGAACTGCCCTTGAGAGAACAGCTCTGAAAGAATATATGACTGATCCAAGATCACACCAGCAGCTGCATGTGGAGGAGTGCGGAATCAAACCTGGTTCTCCCCGATTAGAGTCCATGCTCCTAAACCACTACACTAAACTAAGTGGTAAAGAAGCTGTTCCACACAATCAGATGTTTGTGTGCTCACCAAGGGCCACTTCCAATTTCACTGAGATTAGAGCTGATAAGGTACAGTTAACCAAAGTTAGCTGCCCCCAGAATACCTTGTTCTTGATACCTCCAAATCACACACCCTACCAGTGCAAACATTTTGTCGCTGCTGCTGCAGTGGTGAATATTACAGATAATACACATGATGAATGGCAGATAAGCATAGTAAGGGTTTCTCTGTCCAAAGGGATCATTTTGATCCAGTCACATGAAAGATCCTGGAGACTGAAGATCATTGGACATTTTGAGTGGGGCGATTAAGGGTGGTGTCATTAGCAGCAAATTAAGGTCTGACGCAAGTCTGGATTGTGACTTTGAATAATTGGATTTTCATAGCATCTTTTAATGAAAATCTCTCTGAGTGCCATCAAGAGACCTTTCTGTGCCTCCCCCCTCCCCAAGAGAAAATCAACAGCAATCCCTGGTTCAGGGTTCATTGCACTGTTTTTTAAGGCAACATGAAGAACCGGGGGGTGGGGATGTCCACCAATTTGATATGAGTTAACCTGGAAATTACAGGGAAATGAGAGTACAGAACTGGGTAAACGGAACTGAACTGGCACCAGTCTTTCTTGAACACTATAGACGCTGGCACCCCCTACAACATCCATGTACAGTGCAGGCTGTGAACACTGTGTACGAAATGTGACATTGTGGAGATTGCACAGGTCAGTTGCACACTAACTTCTATCCAATTTGTGCATTAAGTGCAAACACAGCTGATTGGAGGGATTAAAGTCATGTCATTCAAACAGCTGATCTTAGGTCACACTACCTACTGATTAAAAGTTCAACTATGCATTCATGGAGAGTGATGTTCCGTACACATTGTTCATCCCCCCCAATTTTACTTTGAATGTGCAAAAAAAACCACAAACAAACCTTAGTTCTTATGTCCATTAAAAAAAAAAAAACTTGAGTGAGATTCTTTAACATTGGAACTAAAGCTATGTTAAGAAATCAATCCAATAGGTTTTAATCGGAAACACATTTCCAGTTCTAACTTTCTCCATACCACCCAACTGGGATGAAATTCTCAGGGGCTGTGCTGCTTAAACAAGGGGTCTCTCTTCCTGAATTTCAGGCAGCTGGGAGAAAACCAGCATTCCTGTTCTAAAAGCCATCAACCGTGGAATCCTAAATGGAGTTACACCCTTCTACAACAGTGAGGATGTGACTGTGTCTAGGTCTACAGTGTAAAACTGCAAGAATAAAACTCTTCTAGTTCAGTGTGATTTTGATTCTCAGCACCAAAGTCCTCCTATATGTTATTTCAGAAACCTTTAAACATTTTGTAAAGGCATGTCAATAGCTGCTACCATGTTACAGATGTGGAGCAGAGACTCAAGCCCTGTTCATGGTCTATGGTCATATGGTCAGTGAACAAGCAGAATGGGAATGGCATGACCAGACCACCCCTGATGATTCAGGGCAGTGCCCACATGAAGAAATCTGTGTTTGCTCTTTGCAGACAGTGAAGCAGCCCTATGCATTTCCATCCACATGGCTGTCAGCTGAGGTAACAGCTCAGCAGGAACTACAACAGAATGTTTCAGTTCCTCATCCAGGCCGCTCATATGCCTCTGTGCCCCCACAGGGTTGCGGCTGGAGTGCTGGGCTAGGATCTGGAAGACCCAGGTTTAAATTGCTTCTTTCAGGAAGCTCACTGGGTGACTTTGGGCCAGTCACTCTCTCACAGCCTAACCTACTCACAGGGTTTTCATAGGGGTAAAATGGAAAAGGGAGAAATGATGCCTGCTGCCTTCTTAGGGGAAGGGCAGGGTAAAAATGTACCCACATACATTTCACCCTGGAGGGACCAAGTTCTTGTCAGATCTCAGAGGGAAGCAGGGCCAGCCCTTGCTGCATACTTGGCTGGGACCAAGTAAGTCCAGGGTTGCTATGTGGAGGCGGGCAATGCAAACCACCCCTGTTCTCTTGCCTTGGATTGACAGAGACTGAATTCACACATGCCCCTTGGACCACTTTTCTGCCTCTCCTCTGCTGCCACCACATTAAACCAGAAAAGTAATTTTAAATTCATTGGCAAGTCTCAAGCATGGCGAGGGGACCAAGGGATCCCAGCGGAGATTGCAGCTCCATTGCTATTATTATTTCAGAAACAGAACAATGTTTTGAGGGCAGTAGCATCTCTAAGACCAACCAAATTTAATTCTGGGTGTAAGCTTCCATGTGCGTGCACACTGCCCACCGGAATCTTTCAGGAACAGAAGAGGGTTTTCTGTTTTATGACTTAGGAGAGCAGAGGTAAGTGCGGGTGGGGTGTGACCGTGGGCATTTCGTCCCGTCCTCCAGCCTTCAGCCCTGTTTGGAGGACTTTGGTCTACACAACGAGCGGACACCAACCCATTCTCCAGTCACACAAACGTCTCTCTTCCAGCAGACCTACATGGCGATCGACTCCCCCGCCCCCACGCCGCCTTCTTGCCAAAGGCTTCTTCTGTAGCTGATTGGGAACAACGGGGGGCGCGAGCCGGCTCCTCTGCTTCCTCATCTGGAAAGCGCGCCGGGTTTTTAAGGGCCGTGGAAAGGCAGGGCGCCCCCGCCCAGCTGAGGGTGGAGGCGAAAGCTGGGCGCCTGCCGCCGCAGTAGCCCTACGCCGCTCCTCGCTTTTGCACTACGGGCGCCCTTTGGCAGGCTGCCCGGCACTGGGCAAGCAAAGAAGGGAACCCATCCGCGGCCGCCGCTCCCCCCGGGGCTGGGCCAGGCATCCCTGAGCGTGACGTCAGCCCTTCCCCATTGGCCCTCCGCAGCAGCACATGGCCGGGACATCGGTATAAAGGCGTCCCCCTCTCGGCAACCTTTCCCAGCGTCTTTCTTTAGTCCCACCGTAAGAACTTTGCGAGTCCAGCGCGATGGCGAACCTCGAAGTCTTCCTAGGCAAATGGAGTTTGCTGTCGAGTGACAACTTTGACGACTATATGAAAGAACTGGGTAAGGCAACAAAAGAAGACCCCGGGGGGAGGGGGACACACTAAAGCCTTCTGCTTTGGCATGCTGCGATGGGGGGGGGGGCTTGGCCAGGAAGACAGTGAAACAGTTTGAATGAAAGGATGGGCAGGGGAACCAGCAAGGGCAGGGGGTCTCTCCCAAAGGCTGGGCATATTATGCCCAAGGAAGGAAACCTCTTGTTTCTGCTAGATTTTGTGGGCGGGTGTGTACTTATGTGCGTATATTCACCTGAAGGTGGGGGCTACAATCCCGTGGTTAATTTATGTGGAAATAGAGCCGGAATAATTGTTGATTTGTGGCTTGGAGCTCTGATTTACCACTGCCCCTTCATATCATGTATGTAGCATAGCCAACTGCATTGTGTATAGATTACGCATAGGCTGTTGTTACAGAGTTAATTCCTGTGGATTCTATGAAATTGCAGCAACATGTTCCAAATACCGTTTGGTTGCTGAGCACTGTGTTTCCACTGTATCCACTGTATGTGCCTATGGTCTGCCTGGCTTGATTAGCAACAGAGGATTATGGAGAAGAAATAGGAGTTAATTCATTTCCCTCTCCTGGAAGCACCCCTGTCTCTCCTCTCGGATTAGCAGCTTTGGGTCTCATTTTCTCAGCTCCCGGGAGAGATCGAATGCTCTGTCCAAGGTCTGTGGAGGCGTTCTCAGTCTTGCTTTTAACAGCCCACAGACAGACAAAGTGGCTTTTGTCCCAAACAAAAAATTCAGCTGATGAATGAAGAAAGCCCATCTGGATGGAACAGTGTGTAGAAAGACGCTTATGTGTCTACATGAGGGAGAAAGGGAAGGCCGGGGGAAGGGGCAGGGTTAAGAGAGGGTCTGGTGTATTGACTGGGAGGTTTCCCCCACTGAGTCAGAAAGTAAAAGGAGAGCAGTCAGCAAAACCTTTGAGCACAGGATACTTCTGGTGACATCTGGATATATCAGCACTAGCAGTGAGTGTACAAAGGGTAGTTTACAGCAGAGGTCATTTCGGGGGGGATCGTGGGGGATCGCAGTTCCCCCGGGTGAGGTATGGGGGGCGGGGCACACGACGAAGCCCCGCCCCCTGCTTCCGGCTGCCCCGCTTCCGGCCCTCATTCAGCCAGGAGGAGGCAGGAGAAGAGGGAGAGTAAGTTGCTTCCTCCCTGCCTCTCCCCACCCCTGCCTGCCTGGGGCCAGGGAGGGCCTTTGCGGGGCTTCCTTGCACTCCCGCCGGCCTTGCAGGTCCACCGCCGGGCCCCTCATGGGCTGGGACCGTTGGGGTTGGGGTTGGGGTATGTGGCCTTATGACACACTCCCGGTGATGTCAGGGGGTGTGGCCTTATGACACACTTCCGGTGATGTCAGGGGGTGTGGCATATGCTAATGAGTTATGCTAATGAGTTCCCCTAGCTCTTTTTCTACGAAATGACCCCTGGTTTACAGTGCTATCCTATGTAGCACTACGTCCCTCTAAGACCATTCAAGTCAAGGGTGTAGAAGGGTGTAACTGTATTTGGGGTGATGGTGCCATAAATGCTGGTAGAATCAGTGCCATTAGCCAGGGTGGGGCTACGTGTATCCAGAGTGCTTGTTAGTTCCGCCTACATTTTATAAAATTAGGATTTTGTAATTCTTTTTGGACACATGAAGATGCATGTCAGATACTGTCAGATAATTGGTCTGTCAAGGTTCGAACTGGTATGTCCACAGTCTCAGCTGGAGGTCTTTCATATCATCTGGTAGTCGATCCTTTTGACTGGAGAGGTCTGGGATTGAAACTGGGACTTTCTGCATGCAAAATAGATGTTCTACTGTGGAGCCATGGTCCCTCCCCAATTTAATTTGTCACATTTCCATTTAAAAAATGAATGCTTCTTTTTTAGAATGGAAACATTTCTAATTTAACCATTGGCAACCAGTGCCCCCCCCCCCCCCCCCCCCCCCACTTCCAAATCCACACATTTGATTCGATAAGTTTGTCTACCCAGTTTCCCTGGGTGGATTTTTAAAGATCACAGTCACCTTTCTACCCCTTTAGCTTCTATGAGCCTAGCAGGGTTATAGCTGAGAAAAGCTACCAAGCTCCTTTATTAAGCTAGGTGTTTATTAAGCAAATGGAGCTGCGGTGGCTCAAGTAGTTAAGACGCTGAACTGCAGGCTGTGGAAGATCAGTAGTTCAGCAGTTCGAGACCTGGGTGCCTCATGATGGAGTGAGCTCCCATCTCTAGTTCCAGCTCCTGCCAACCTAGCAGTTCGAAAGCAAGAAATTGCAAGTAGATAAATAGGTACCACTTCGGTGGGAAGGTAACAGCGTTCCGTGCACCTTGGTGTTTAGTCATGCTGGCCACATGACCACGGAAACGTCTTCGGACAGCGCTGGCTCTTCGGCTTTGAAACGGAGATGAGCACCGCAACCCTAGAGTCGGATTCGACTGGCTTTCGAGCAAGGGAACCTTTACCTTTTTTATTAAGCAAGCAAAAGCTTCTAAAATTAAGATAGGTGGTGTTAGTCAGCTTGTGCATTTTAGCTCTTCTTAATAATTGTTCCTAGACAATCAAATGTATACTTGGGTTTGGGTTAAGATATTTCTGTGGGTTATGAGGAAATCATGTTGGGGTTTTTTTTTGTTCATTTTGACATCCCACAGGGAAATATAGGTGCCCCACCTAGTGAGGAGAGCCAGATAAAGCCTTGTTTAGAACAAGATATTGTGTTATGTATAAATATTTGGTTTTGGTTACATCACTGCAGGAGTGGAAAAAATGCTAAACTGATGAAATGTCCTTCATCTGTTCACAGGAGAAACTAAATTTAGCTTACCTAATATATTTATCTTTATAAGAAACTGAATAGTGTGCTCATCTGATTAGGGTGGAATACTTTTGTATTGCACCTGATAGATCTACTAGGTTATACTGTGGTTTGAAGGCACTAGCTTCAGCTGACATTGAATCTGGGAAGAAAGACAGTTCCGTGAATTAAAATCTGGCTGCCTGGTTTCTTTCTGTACCTGGGGGTTAATTACACCACAGAATTCAGTGATGGCTCTTGAGCAGAGCTCTGTATGTTCTGGGCTAAATTCTGTGCCAGTAATCTCATATTTGCAAAATAAGCCGAATTTTGTGAGCTAAAACAGAAGCAAGGTAAATGAATGTTGGCTAAATGGAATCCCTTATGTTCGGAAGAAGTGCACCTAATGTTGCCTGCCTCTAGGTGAGGCCTGAAGATCTCCCAGGATTGCAATTGATCTCCAGACCTGACAGCGCTCAGTTCCTCTGAAGAAAATGGCTGCTTTGGAAGGTGGATTCCATGGCATTGTACCCTCCCCAAACCCTGCCCTTGCCAGACTGCACCCCCCAAATCTCTAAGTATTTCCCAACTCAGAGCTGGCAGCCCCAAGTATACCACTGAACTGACAGCCACAGGGGCAGGGTTTGGCCTCCATGCCCTGCTTGTAGACTTTCCAGAAGTATTTGGATGACCACTATGGGAGACAGGGTGCTAGACTAGATGGACCTTTTGTACATCCTGTCTGTTTTTGCATCACCAATGGCTAGATGCTTGTTTCTGAAATTTGATAACTAAGGTTATCAGGGTACTAACTTCTGCAGCAAGACCCATTCCTGGGCATGGGCAAGAGTGATCATAGCTTATGTACTGCCATTGAGTGGTTGGAAGGAAGATAAAGAAAGGATGTGTAGCCAAGGCATTTTGATGATGTTGTGTCCGCTGACCGCCACCGGAGGTCAGCGCACACTCCTGAGCTTCAGTCCGGCACAACAATGGGACTAGGATTCTAGTCCCTCCACTGGGGGGAACCAATGGGACCTTGGCGGGAGATTCAAACCCACCAATGGGACCAGGGGAAGCCCCTGGACTGTGTATATAGTTGGCCTGCCGGCCGTTAGTCTTTAGTCTTGTTGTGTACCAGTAAAGCCATGCTGATCACTACATCAGTTTCCGTGCTTTCTTTACGCGTCTAACCCACTACACTTCAATGGCGACGAAGGTGGGATCCCGCTGAGCAACCAGCCGGGCTGTCGGACGCTAAGGGGAAGACGACGCACCGCCGCCCGCGCTCCGTCGATCGATGAGCACCGAGGGTGAACAATCCGCTTCCCAGCCGCGGCTGCAGCAATCCGCTTCCCAGCCGCAACCGACCAGCACAATGGCCAAGCTACAGACCTTCCAGCGTCTTAACTTCTGAGCCACCGCAAGAGGCAATCTTGCAAACATTAATAATGCAATCCTAAACTAACCTACCCCATAGGGTTGTTGTGAAGATAAAATCGAGAACAGCGTAAACTGTTTTGGGTCCCCACTGGGAAGAAAGGTGGAGTTAAGATGGAGTAAATAGATTAATTAATTAAATCAGAGTTTCAGAGTTCCATTGACTTCAATGAATGTAGAAGGGTGTAACTCTGCTAAGGATTACACTTTTAATAATTCAGACCGGGAAGCAGATTTTTAGATAATCCAGTGCACAATTAAACATGCATGCATGTACCTGCCCCATCCCTTGATATCTCATGACTTGCTTAGTCAGTTTTTGATGAATCACCATTGAAAAGTATGGCATTGAAACCACTATCTAGAGTGGTTGGTCTGTGATGCAAGTCATCGCTTGAAAGTGCAGCCATCAAATGATGAACAGGCATTTCTTTTCCTTGACTTGGCAAGGCTGTCAGCAGTGAAGTCTGACAAGATTTAGTATTAGGGCATATGATTACAACTGCAAGAATGACATATGCTCAATGTTGGAAACAAGACAAGGTCCCTGAAATTGGGGACTGGGTAAAGAAATTACTTTTTATGGTTGAAATGGACAAAACGACAAGAAAACTTAAAAATTTGGAGGCAGAAGAATTTTTTGCAGACTGGAAAGACTTTAAAGACTATTTAGAGAAATACTGGGATGTAAAGGACAATTTGCTTTGCTTTGATAATTATTGAAAATGAAAATAATAGAAAAAAGAATAACAATTGAAAGATAAGTTACCTGTAGATGTGATTATTGAAAAAGGGTGGTATGAAGAGATTTTAAGTTTTGGGCTGGAGGTTAGAGCACTGTGGGAAGCCGATAAGGGGGGGGGGAGAAGGAGGAAAGGATGTATAACTACATACCGTGGTGTTGTTTTTTTAGTAAAACTCTCCTAAAAAGGAGAGAATTTTATTGCTTTTAAAATTTTCAGAAAAAGGAAGGTATATAGTGGGATTAAGAATAGTGGTGACTGATGGTTGAGTTAGTATATTAATATTTTTGTTAATAATAATAATACATTCTGTAGCTTCTTCTGTGCTTGACCGATCTTTCTTCTTTACCTGTAAAAAATGAAAGTGTTAACGATATTAGTAATGTCCTTCTGGGTTACTATTAGTATTGTCCTTGAATGCGCTTTTTCAAAAGTTTTTCCGATGTTGGGTTATTTCCCTTTTTTTGTCTCAAATTGTAGGGTACTCCTCCTACAGCTCCTCCCTCCCTCCTCTTCAAAAAGTATTGAACTTTGAAAATGGGAGTCTATCTTTTCTCTTTTGTCTTTAAATTTAAATACAAGTCCTTCTGGAATCAACCATCTGTAATTAATTTGATGATTTTGCAAGAATGTGGTCAATCCTTTGTAGTCCTTCCGCTTCTTCCGAATTTCATATGGCACATCCTTTAAAATCCTTATAGTCTGTTCTCCAATCTTCAAGGGCGTTTGTGATGTTGCTTTTAAGACTTGATCTCTGGTACGCTGTTTGGTAAATTTGACAACCACTTCAGCTGGCAGATTATTTTTCTTTGTAAAAGTGGAATAGACTCTGTAAACCAGATCCATCTCTTCGCTTAACTTATCCGCTTCACTGCCAGTCAGTGGTGCCTAGGCATTCGCCAATATACTTCTGAGATCTTCCTTTTCAACCTCCTGAATTCCTTGAAATCGGAGAGTCAAATTTGATTTTTCCATCTGCAACATCAGTAATTTCTTATCTTGTACTTCTTGCTTTTTTCCATTTTATTGACCTTCTTCTTGATTTTTTGTGTATCTTCTGTTGATACCAGACATTTCTTTGCAATCTTTTCCATCTTCTTAGCTGTATCAGTCAATTGTGTCTGTTGACTGCTGAGAACACTTTCCATGCTGGATAATGTTTGATTGATTTTCTGCATTTGATCCAGCAGAGGGCGCAGCATCTCACTTTCTTGTTGAGTGGCAGCCGTCTCTGAAAGGCGGGGACCAGGACTGGAAGTTCCTGCTTGCCTCTTCACCTGCTTCTCCTTCTCCCTCTTTGGCCCCGACATCTTAACTTTTTTGTTTACTTTTCAAAAGTTCGTGCCGCGCAGCTTGGGGATGAGTCCCTCTTCTTCAGTTCATAAGATTCCCCAAAAGGTAATTTTTTCTTTCCGGATTTTCACTCCCCCCCCCCTTCTCAGAATTAACAGTCTTGTTCTGTTGGGGGGGGGCTATCCACCCTCCTCCCATACGTTTAATCCGGGGGGGGGGGGGAAGGAACGCATTCAAGTTTTTCTTTGATCGTCAACTCACAGTTGGTAGCCAATTTTGTCTTTTATAATCGCTTCATCGCTCCATCACTCCGAAAGAACCGGTGGCGTTGCTAAGTCCCATCAGGGCACAATGCTGCGGGGCCTATGGGGCATGGGGAAAGCCTCAATTTTCCGACCGTCAGGTCGGTAAAGGGGCAACTCCCCGGTGCGCCCCCTGGTCCGGAGCCTTTACACTAAGGCTCCTAGAGTCTCCACTTGTGCGGAGTCCCCCCCAACCGCGCATGGGTGAATCGACTCTGGGAGTGTCTCGGGAGTGTGACCGCCATTCGCTTCTCCGTAACCGGAAGTCCTATATACGTTTTGATATATGTTTGACCTTTTATTATATCCTAATAAATTGTTTTTTGGGGAAAAAAAGATTTAGTATTAGGGCAGGAAATCTAAACAGGCCCAAGTCTGTCTTGAGCGAATGGAAATCGGATATCTTTAGTTAGTTGGTCTATCTCTCTCTCTCTCTCTTTTTTGCTGTCAAGTCACAGCTGAATTATGACAGCCCCACAGGATTTTCAAGAGAAGAGATGTTCAGAGATGGTTTGCCATTGCCTGCCTCCGCATCATGACCCTGGTATTCCTTGGAGGTTTCCCATCCAAATATTAGCTAGGGGCAAATCTGCTTAATAGGGTTGCCAACTTCCAAGTAGTAGCTGGAGATCTCCTGCTATTACAACTGATCTCCAGGCAACAGAGATCAGTTCACCTGGAGAAAATGGCCACTTTGGAAGGTGGATGTGACATTAAACCCCATTGAAGTCCCTCCCCAAACCCTGTAGTCCTCAGGATCCACCCCCAAAATCTCCAGGTATTTCCCAACCTGGAGCTGGCAACCCTACTGCTTAGCTTCCGAGATCTGATGAAATTGGCATAGACTGGGCTATCCAGATCAGGGCAGTTGGTCTAATAGTGCCATCCTAAGCAGAGTTACACCCTTCTGAGTGTGTCAGTCCATTGGCTAAGAAGAGTGTAGCTCTGCTTAGGGTGGCACAGCAGTAATGTGGGTTTTCTGTGGGAAATTTCCAGGAAATGTTCCTATTCAGGCTTAAGTAAATAATTTAATTATTTAAATAACGTTAGCAAACAAAGGCCAACACACAATGCAGAAGTCAGGACTACATACAAGCACTTGGGTTTGTCCACCCTTCATATCCCACATATGGCAGATTTTAACATGACTGATTTGCAGCACAACAGCCTTGGCAACTCTAGCTGGAAGAGACTAAATTTACCTATTTTCCATGGGAAAATGTAGTCTTGTAAAAAAGTTTCCACCCCACATCACTGACTCTAAGTCCAAGAGGATATGAAATATTGTATCCTGCAAATTCCTTTTGGTTTCCACAGAGTGGGATGATTCTGAAGGTAGCGGTCATGGTGAACATTTCGTATTCTCTTATTGTATTTTTAACCTCTCTCCAGAAAGTGGTTTTGAACACATTATTATATATATAGATTCAGCACGATATTTTTTTTCCTGTCCCTTTTATTGCATAACAGGGGATAGGTACATGCTATCCATGTGGTTTCATTTTATTTTCTGGAGGGTAATAAAAATCTAATATATAATTAATTATAGGTGGAGCCAGAACTCATGTTCTAATATGCTGAGATTCTATATAAAAGACCTGTTGGACTTGTAAGGCAGAATAAGCTAACTCTGAGCAACCTGTTTCATGGCGTGCTGCAATGCACCAGCTGACTCTCTAAATTTCTCTTTCCTCCCCACGCTTGTTAATTAAAGTAAGGTAATCTCGAGACAACATAATGACTGTGCCTGTATCTTTGTAGGTGTGAACTTGGCCATGAGGAAGATGGGCAGTATGGCCAAGCCAGATGTTACCTTCAGCATGGACGGAGATACAGTGAAAGTGAAAACAGAAAGTACTTTCAAATCATCAGAATTCTGTTTCAAACTGAATGAGAAATTCAATGATAATACAATAGATGGCCGAAAAACAGAGGTAATTTCTTGCAGATCTTGTGAATCTGGCCGCCTTACACAAGTAATATCATCAGTCCATTTAATTTAGTAGTGTCTGCTCCAACTGGCAACTCTCTAAAGTCTCCAGAAGAAAAAGGTCTTTCCCAACACCTGTTTCCTAAAATCTTTTAACTGGAGATAGCAGGGATTGAACTTGGGATATGTGCTATACTACGAAGCCGTGTCTCTTCCCGAAACTTTCTTACCGAGAAGTTTTAAGGGATGTCTGCACCAGCAGTTGGCTCTGAACACAATAGAGAACTGGTATTGCCCCTGATTAGACTCTTCCTTTCTGAGTTTTGTCACATGGACAAGTAAAATGTAACTTTCTTCACAATTACTCTACTGATATCTGAAAGAAGCCTGAGATGTACATATTCTTCCTTGAGTTCTTGAGTACCCAGTGCATTCTATTTCAGCTGCTATTACAAGTGAAATGTTATGTATTAATCAAAATTTAGATACCAAAATTATGAAAGTGAATGAAGCTTTACTGCTGTGTATCTCAGGCCTTCTGCATTTCTGGCATCCAGCAGGTCAGCTGTATCAAGCCTGTAATGAGTTGTGTGGCTCTTCCATTGGCCTTGTGGATAAGGTGGTTTCAGTGTCCACATTATATAGGTAGGCCTGTAGCTACAGTGGGGCTGTTTGGGCCTCCGCCCTTTCCTTAATGAGCCAGCCCCACAAAATCTCCTTCTGAAAATGGTTTTTATTATTTTTTTAACATTTTAAAACTTTTAAAAAGGTGCGCTCCCATGCCTTGTCACAGCCAAACAGACCTGAGAATCCCAGATGTTGTCAGGCCAGATACCCCCCCCCTTTTTAAAGAGATCCTTGGCCAACAATCTCAGATCCCTGATGAGAAGATGCCACCGTGGGGCTGCCTCCTCCACCCTTCAGTTGTTTAGAGACAGACAGAAAAATCATGGCAGCCCCACCAGAATTTTTTTTTGCCCCACAAGCCACAAAAATCTGGCTCTATAACCAACAGAAATGATGTATGTGGAAACATGTTACTCAGTGTGTCATATCATTTGACTAGCATACCATTGATCTAGAAAAAAACAAAGCAGATGTATCTCAAGCACATTAGCAGGGCACAGAGTGGAAAGACACATTAGGATACAGTACACAAACAATTGGATATTCAAGGCAACAATACTTGCAAGACTAACACAATTTTCAGGGCTGTTGTTCAGCTGCTATGGGGAAATCTTTGGAAATAATTATACTTTCTAATCCCCCGGGGGAAGCAATGTGTGAAACACATGATGGTCACCCTATTATTAATAAACCACTTACTTCCCTAACTGCATCATCAGCCAGCATGGTGTAGTGATTAGGAGCGGCGGATTCTAATCCGGAGTCCCGGGTTTGATTCTCCCTTCCTCCACATGAAGGGTGACCTTGGGCCATTCACAGTTCTCTCAGAACTCTCTCAGCCCTACCTACCTCACAAGGTGCCTGTTGTGGGGAGAGAATGGAATGTCACTGTAAGCCGCTTTGAGACCCCTTGGGGCAGAGAAAAGCGGGACATAAAAACCAACTCTCCTCTTTTTCTTCTTTTGCTCATCTTTGTTTTGGTGACTGGTGCAGCCCCCCCCCCTTTGGACTATTGCCCTGTAACTCTTAACAGTCAGGTTGAAGATCCTGCCTGAATTGGTCAGTGGTTTTTTCCAGATTAGTGCTAAACAAATCTGACTTCATTAGCACTGGATATTTTCTAAACTGATGGTCCTTTAAAAAGGCTTCATCATCAGAGAAATGAAACTGGCTGTGCATTACATCACAAGGTTGGCAAGCTATATGATTCTTTCAGACCCAGAAGTGCTTCCTGATGTTGTGATGAATATTACTGGAGGCTAAGAGCAAAACCTAGAGCATAGAAGCATATTGGCTCCTTGCCATGACCTTTCCCTCATCTCATAATGAGGGATGTTTCCAAACTAGTTTATCAAATGGTTCTGGCAGATTTGGCTGTGGTTTTTTTTTTAAAAAAAATCTTGGGGTTTTTTATCTTGTTAATTGGACTGTTATACTTTTGTGTTCTTGCAGCCTGCTGTGGCACTGCCTTGTCTCTGAGGAGACTAGATGGGGTATAAATGTTTAAATAAATAAAGCATCTACCTATAGGCAAAAGATTTACTTTGAAATGCAGGTAGCACTCTATACAGTTCTTAACCATTTGCTGTCTGTTAACTGCTGCTGTTTTGCTCTTTCTGTTAAAATATAAAGGCCTACAGCTGGAGACACTGAAGGGTTAGAGCCAATGTACTGGACTATTCGGAACACTATTGTTAGGCAAACTGAAGTGGTTGCTGTAGATAGCAGATTTTGGGGCATCATTAAGGATAGTGGTATGAACACATGAAGCTGCCTTACACTGAATCAGACCACTGGGGTCCATCAGAGTCAGTATGGTCTACTCAGACTGGGACAGTGGCTCTCCAAGGTCTCCGGCTGAGGGTCTTTCACATCACCTACTGCCGGATCCTTTTACTGGAGATGCTGGGGATTGAACTTGGGGCCTTCTGCATGCCAAGCAGGTGCTGTACCACTGAGCCACAATCTGACCCACAATCGATTGAAATGTTTTCCTGCACAAGTCTGTTCGAAAAAACAGGAGCCAAACAAGCAGGGTTATGCAGGACAATTTCCTAGTGTATTATGTTTTTATGTTCATTCCTTTGTATTATGTTTTTAATTGATATCTGTTAATATTTTAGCTGTTGTTAGCTACCTTGAGACTGCTTGGTAGCAAGAGGCAGCTAATAATAATAATAATAATTATTATTAATAATAATAATTTATTAATGTGTTTGCTGACTGTTCCACACGGAGCATGAAAATATCTTCAGTCAGTCTTGAGTTATCTGAGCCAACATCAAGTTTCTGACAGACTTCTACAGGATTTTTTAATTCAGTCCGGGAAGCAGATATATTTTTAGATATTCCAGTGCACAATTAAACATGCATGCATGTACCTGCCCATTAATTCTTTTAATAATTTAATTTAATTGTTTAATTCAGCATAAATAATACTGATCTTTAAATTATGAAGAGAATTTTACCATTCCCAATTAGAAATCTGAATAATCAAGAACACGGGAACACAACTCCTCAACACTCAGATGGATGATACAAATGGCCACTGCCCTGTGCCCCACATGCTTGAAAAAAGTTTACCATCAGTTTCTTTCATTTTTAATTATAAATTATAATGAAGGATCAGGAACATGAGAGTTACAGTCTGATCACCTTTTACTTTCCTTAATGGAAAATTGCTGTTGCTTTTCTTGAGGCCTTCAGACAGGTCAGGTTAGAAATCCAGGTCACTAAGGAGCTAACTAAATACCAAAGTCTCTGTATTCCTTTTGCAGACCCTTATAACACTAGGTGATGATAACGTGTTGATCGAGGTCCAAAAATGGGACGGCAAAGAGACCACGATAACAAGGAAGGTGGTAGATGGGAAGATGATTGTGGTAAGTGGAATGTACTCCTGGTTTCCATACAGAATTATAAGCAACAGCAAGCAACATGGAATACACTTCTAGCATAACAAGTATTCATCTGTTCTACTGTGCTTCACAACAAGCTGGAGTTTAACTGAAGGCTTCCTTCCGTCGAAGCCTTCATGTGCAAAGGAGGGAAGGGAGGATGAGAGCAAACTGTCTGTGCCCAGCCTGGACAGACAGGTGGCATTAGAGTTAGTTTCCGTTTCCACACAAGAGAAAGAGTAAGAAAAAGACTTACGAGTGAATCTTCTTTGTTTTCCAGGAATGTGTCATGAACAATGTCAGATGTACTCGGGTATACAAGAAAGCATGAAGACCCTGGTTCCTTGTTTATGCTGGGAGTTCAGTGATGGACAGCTCAGTTCCGGGCATAAAGCTAGTCAACACTCCATATTGTTTCTCACCTTTGTCTCCCCACTCCCTTGTTTTTTAGCATCTTGGAAGAACCAGTACTGTATACAAATCTGTTATGTATCTTTTGAGAACTATTAAATTTGACAAATATAAGATGTAATCGTGTAACTGTGCTGTAGTTTTTGAAATATTTTTTTTCTTTTCACTTCCCAGATGTTCTGAAAAATTATAGATAAGTCAGGTGGTGGAAAGGACCAGCTGGTTAAGATACATATTCTGTATGCAGGCCAAGAGGAATTAGCATCCCTTTCTTAACAACACGAGTCTTATGGGCTTAACAGTTCCTTACCATTCCAATGTAGTTTAATCAGCTACCAGTGAAATTCTGTTATTCCCATAGCTGTGCCAGACACAGTTGAAAACTGTGGATTGTGACCCTTGAGGACATGGTTCCAGCAAATCCTTGCTTTTGTACCTTTGCCTCCACTGTAAGCTCTTCCTTCATGTTCTACAGTGTTGGGACACATTGTCTTTCCTTTGGTTCCTGTTCTTCGTAAGCAAAAGATGCAACATGCATTAAAATGCCATTCCAGAACTGCTATCCTACTTAGATTCCTAAAATCCTCTCATGAGGCTGTAGGCTGTCTCCAAGACCCCAAGGTTCCCCCACAGCTCATTTTGCCACTGGGGAAAGCTCAAAGGGCTAGTCATTCTGTTTTTTTGTTGCTTACCCTTTCAGAGACATAGGTAAGTATTTAAGTGTTGAACAGGATCTTTAATATAGTTTAGTTATATCACAACACCCAAGTGGAACTGAAAATGCTGGTCTTTAAGATGTTAAAAAACTTTTCTCCAAATGGTATATTTGTACCTGTTTATTACATGGATAAAGGGAACCGGCATGGTATAATGGTTAAGAGTGGCGGGTTTAATTCCATACTCCTCCACATGAAGCCAGCTGGGTGACCTTGGGTCAGTCACAGCTCTCAGAGCTCTCTCAGCCCCCAAAATAAGTCTAGCTCTGGTGCATAATGCTAAAAGGAGCTAGTACTTCGGGCAGCCAGACAATCTTCAGATCTCCTGGCTATACCACACACAATGCCATATGATTATGATTATTATTACTACCTGGTAACAGGGTATTTAAAAAGCAATTTTATACATATTTGTCATTACTAAATTGCTCTCTTTTCTACAGTGAAGTGAAGTACTAGTGCTCATATTAAACCTGGTATTTGTTTGTTAAACCAGTATAGAAGGTGTTTAATTTCTAGAGGAGTATAGTGCTTTAGCAGTCATCTCAGGAATTGTTATCAAAATCTTTGTTTTTTAAAAGATATCTGGATAAATCTAAAGAATGTATGAAACTTTTAAATCTAATGCTTCAGTTCTGACTCACTGGGAACCAGTAGGGTATTCTCTAAGCATGGCTACAAAGGAAGGAGGGATGAGGGAGACAAAGGCCTTGGGACTCATAATCCTGGGCAAGTCATGTGGTTTGTTTTCATAAAATGTTTGTTTCAGTTGAATGTTGTGGGATGGGGGTGGGCAGAGGGAATCTTCCTGGGGGCCCAAATGGTTTTTAGTAACCCTGCCTCCAAGAAATGGTGTTTACCCTCTTCCCCTTGTTGGCACCACGGATTTACTACTACTTGAAGTGGTATATTGGATATGGTACTCTTGTGTCATGGGCTAGGAAGATTCTCTGATGTGGAGATTCATTTGAAGACTTTGCTCCAGGATGAAGCTTTTCTCCATTCCTGTGCAGCTCAAAGATGGATTGTGCTACTGAAATGTTCCTTGCCTGGATTTAGTTCTGACACATTCTTGGTTTGAGGTACATTGTACTCTCGATTATGTAGGTTAATCTGTAAAATATGGGATCTCTCCTTCATTCAGGATCCCACCTTAGCACATGGAATTCAAGAGGGGTCAAACATCTGTAACAAACATTTGAATATTAAGAAAGTAAAAATGAATGTATCTTTTATCCTTTATGAATTTGGGGGATAACTCTTCTACAAGAGATCATATGTTGCAGCTACATCAGAACAACTGAAACGTGCGATTACCCAATTGAATATGATAATATAAAAATAATCAAGACACAGGCACATACACAGCAGTGTAGGGGCTGTTTGTGTTGTTTTTGTTGTGCTCTTCCACAGCATGGTTTAGTACTGCAGATTTCTTCCACCTGGTTAATGCCCTTTGTCTTGATGGTATTCCAGTGAGATACAGAGTTCATGCTACCAGGGCCGGCCCCAGGTGTTTTTGCACACTATGCGAGGATACCTTCTGCCCCCCCATGCTGTTTCTGATTTCCAATCGCACCCTATGCTGAGAGACAATGGAATTACCTACCCCCCTCCCTAGCAGAGGTTGACTGGTTTGAAGGAGGCAAGGTCTGGACCTCAAATCATGCTGAGATGCAGCAGACAGCCTCTTTTGTAGGTGGGTGCTATGAACCCATGGGACTCCTTAAATTAATTCCCTCTCAGCATGCTTGGAAATCTTGGCACATAGTTTGGAACTGATTGTGATCATCTGATTCAGGATAGTAATGCCCAGTTTTATTCCCAAGGAATGGATTTTGGGTTCAAGAAATCAAATCACTTTAAAAAGGAATAGGCTCATAAGAACACCTTCAGTCATTTTAAACAGCTTTACTGTCTTCAGATGTTTTTCAGTTCAGGTGGGTAGCCATGTTGGCAGAACAAAAGAGTCCAGTGGCACCTTTAAGACCAACACAGTTTTATTCAAGGTATTAGCTTTCGTGTGCATGCACGCTTCTCCAGATACTTATACCTCGAATAAAATTGTGTTGGTCTTAAAGATGCCACTGGACTCAGACTTTGTTTTTCAGTTCAGTTCTCAGTTTGCTGCCCTCCTTTAATATTCTGTTTTTGTCCCCCACCGCTTAACATCATAGAACCCAACATTTGTTTTCTTGTTTGGAGAGATTCCCCCCCCCCCCCACTGCCCAACCCGCAAACGTTTACAGGGCCCGCGGAGCCAGAAAAGAGGATTTTTGCATACAGGAGGGGGAACCGGAGAAGAAACACCTCCAAACAATCAAAGCTGTGAATTGGCTGCAGTGTCTCCTAAATGCTGACGGGACAATCCACAATCCCGCTGGGGAGACGACCTCAAGTCCGCTTTCCTTGAGTCTCATGAGGTGTAAGGTAGGGTATTTTACAAGATCAAAAGGTGCCCAGACAGCCATGCTGGGTGTGGGAGGTGGCGGCAGGGGTCTAGCTGCGCCCCTTGAAGATTTGCGCCTAGGCCGTTGCCAAGGTTGGCCTAATGGAAGAGCCGGCCCTGCATGCTACTATGGCCTTTTCCACTACTATGACCCTGCCCACATGGGTGCAGTATTCACATACATACTGTTGCTCTATGGGATAGTGCCGTAGGAAACCAATTTCCATGCAACTGTATATGTGTATAAATCAGGCCTCAAACAGCCAGAAAGATATGTGGTATGTTAACCAAGGCTGTTGGAATCTGTTCATCACTAAAGGCCAAGACGGATTATGACCACAGCAGGCTACTTGGTCATAGATCAAGGGATTCCAACTGCCTTCATTTATTTGGGAAGTTCTGTCCCTTGAGAAAGAGTTATATTCTCAAAGTCCAGCAGGAAAAAAAAAAGATAGCCCCTCCCAGATAGCTATCATTTTGTTTTTTTGTTTTTTAATTAGGGACTGGTTTGGATTACTGATAAATTCCTTCCCAGGAATGTGAATGTTTTTTGAAAAAAAGTTTTGCACCGTGATTGACTTTTATTTGAAAACTATCTACTGAAACCCCTTGCATTTCAAATCCTAGCTTGCTAAAACAGTTCAGAGAAGATGAATATAATCCAGCCACCAATGTGTTATTCCTTTAATTTCAAAGGACAAAATTTAATTTAATGTAATTCTTAATGCAATTTAAAAGTGCTTAATTGTACTGGACTGTAGTTTATACCTAGTTCTGGAGCAAGAATGCAAACTGTCCCTTCATATCAAATACTGCTATCTATTCCCAAATCCTGAATTAACTAAAAAAAGGCCCATTGATGTTTTCCACAATGTTCAGGTTATATAATGCTGCCAAACCAACACTAAATCGCTTAGCTTAAAAGCTACATAGGTTGGGATTTAACAATCCTAAAATCAATTATGGCAAATGCTGTGTTTTCAGTATCAGCCACTGTGCCTTGTTTAGACTGATGGTCCAGATATCGTGTGTGTGTGTGTGTGTGATTGCCATTAATTAACTATGTGAAATTGTCTGAGATCCACAAACCAGCTAGGCAGCCTATTTTAATTTAAGCCAACATTACCCATACCCTGGACAACACTTCACACCTATGTTCCTGCAACAATGTTTTGCGTTAACAATGTGAGTGTAACATTTCATCGTGTTGCTGCTACATTATAGGTATCTTCATGCTGTCATTTGGCCAGAATCAATACCTAGATGAATATATGCAGCTGCCTTGAACTGAGATCTGATTCACAAATTGCCCACTAAAGAAACTTATGTATGGCTATAAGAACATGTAAGTTTCCTCCACTGGTAAATAATGGCTCTTGGGGCCATTGCAGATTAAGAAAATGGCACTTCAGACTCTTCTCCTTATGAACCACAGTCCAAATCTGAATCATGCCTGTGCATGACTAGAAATTAAGTTCCCAGTGGGAAGCTTCCAGAATTTGTTTGTCAAAAGTCCAAGTCCCCCTTAGTTCAAAGGACACTATTGTTCAGTACCATCAATAAAAAAGATCAATACCTTTACATTCCCACCATTTGAAGCACCCTCCTTGCCCAGAATAATGAGAGGGTGTTGAAGAAAGGGAGATATTGGAAATACTCGTGGTGCCAGCTTTCCTATTCAATTAGTCCAGAGTCTTAAAGTATCTATCAGAAATGAATTAGTTCCAGAAATGGATTGCTTTCAAACTGAAGTCTATCCATTTTTGTGCTTTAGGAGAGTCTCTGTTCATTTTCTCCTAAATACATCTACTTAAACTGCAACCAGGATTTATCTGGCAGTGTATGAATTGTTTTAACTGTTTAACCACCATTTTTTTCTGGGTGGGGCAGCAGGATACAGAGATATTAATAAAA